AAGTTGTTTTGAGTTCCATATGTTCTTCAGTTGAAGGAATGCTGTCCTTGCTTTGCCAATCCTCGCCTTGACGTCTGCATCTGAACCTCCTTGTTTATCGACGATGCTTCCCAGGTATGTGAAGGATTCCACGTCTTCCAGAGTTTCGCCATCAAGAGTGATTGGATTGCTGTTCTCCGTGTTGTGTTTGAGGACCTTGGTTTTCCCTTTGTGTATGTTGAGGCCTACTGATGCAGAGACTGCTGTTATGCTGGCTGTCTTTATCTGCATTTGTTCGTGTGTATGTGATAGGAGGGCTAGGTCATCTGCGAAGTCCAAATCGTCTAATTGGTTCTGAGCTGTCCATCGTATGCCGTGGTTTCCCTCAGATGTCGAGGTCTTCATAATCCAGTCGACCATCAGAAGAAACAGGAAGGGAGAGAGTAGACAGCCTTGTCTTACTCCGGTCCTTACTTGGAATGCCTCTGTCAGCTGTCCTCCATGCACTACTTTGCACTGTAGTCCGTCGTATGAGTTCCGGATAATGTTGACAATCTTCTCAGGAACTCCGTAGTGTCGAAGAAGTTTCCATAACGTCCTCCTATCTACACTGTCAAATGCCTTCTCATAATCAATGAAGTTGATGTACAGTGACGAGTTCCATTCGATTGATTGTTCGACGATGATCCGTAGTGTCGCAATCTGGTCTGTGCACGACCGGTCCTTACGGAATCCAGCTTGTTGATCTCGAAGTTGAGCGTCTACTGCGTCTTTCATCCTGTTCAGTAACACTCTGTTGAAGACTTTTCCTGGTATTGACAGTAGTGTAATGCTTCTGTAGTTTTCACACTTGCTCAGATCTCCTTTTTTTGGAATCTTGATGAGGTGTCCTTCTTTCCAATCCATCGGCACTTGTTCCTCCTCCCAAATCTTCTTGAATAGAAGATGAAGCATGCTTGTAGTTACTTCGATGTCTGACTTCAACGCTTCAGCTGGTATATTGTCAGGTCCTGCTGCTTTCCCGCTCTTGATTTGTCTGACGGCCATTCTGATTTCTTCGGTCGTTGGTGGATTGACATTTATAGGAAGATCTGTGTGTGCTGCTTCGATGTCCGGTGGATTCATTGGAGCCGGCCTGTTCAGGAGTTCCTCGAAGTGCTCTGCCCATCTGTTCCGCTGTTGTTGAATCCCAGTAATTGGTCTTCCTTCTTTGTCTTTGACTGGTCTCTCTGGTTTACTGTATTTCCCTGCAAGCTTCTTCGTCGTATCGTAAAGCTGTCTCATATTTCCTTCTCTTGCAGCTTTTTCCGCCGTCGTTGCTAGTTCTTCCACGTATTTCCGCTTATCAGCTCTAATGCTCTTCTTCACTTGCTTGTTTGCTTCTATGTATTCAGCTTGTGCTTGGAATTAATCTGCTCGTGTTTGGCTGTTGTTAATTGCTGTCTTCTTGTTCTCCCTTTCTTTGATTCTGTCCAGTGTTTCTATAGAGATCCATTCCTTGTGATGACGCTTCTTGGGGCCCAGAACCTCTTGACACGTTGAAGTTAATGTTTCTTTGATACCTTTCCAGCTATCCTCCATAGTAGTTTTTTCTTCCTTCAGTAGATCCTGTAAGGCTTGGAACCTGTTGTTGAGAGCTACCTTGAATTCATTGCGTTTGTCAGTATCTTGAAGGAAGGCTGTATTGAACCTTTGCAGCGCTGTTTGTCCAGTTTTTCTTTAGCTTCAGTTTTAAATTGGCCACAACCGGGTGGTGATCTGAAGCTATATCCGCTCCTCTCCTGGTTCTCACATCTTTCATTGTCCTTCGGAACTTTTTATTGATGCAAATATGATCTATCTGGTTCTCTGTGGTGTGGTCCGGTGAGATCCATGTAGCTTTGTGTATACGTTTGTGTGGAAATATTGTGCCGCCTATGAACAATTTGTTGAATGCACACAGATTTGCAAATCTTTCCCCGTTTTCGTTTCTCTCTCCCAGTCCATGTAGTCCCATGATATCTTCATATCCGGTGTTGTCCATTCCGACTTTGGCGTTTAGATCTCCCATCAGAATGGTGAGGTCCTTTCTTGGGCACTTCTCTATGATTGATTGCAGCCTCTCATAGAATTGATCTTTAACTTCGTCGTTGCTATCATTGGTGGGTGCATAACATTGGATAATGTTCATTGTGATCCCCTCCTTCTTTGTTTTGAATGATGCTTTGATGATTCTGGATCCGTGAGATTCCCATCCTACAAGTGCATTTCGTGCTACTTTGGATAGCATTAGAGCAACTCCCTGAGTGCGTGGAGCATTTTCCTCTTCGTGGCCGGAGTATAGCAGCATCTCTCCCATATTTAGCCTTTGTTGTCCAGCTTGGGTCCAATGGGTTTCACTGATTCCCAGTACTGCCAAGTTGTATCTCCTCATTTCCGTTGCTATTTGACTGGTCTTCCCGGTCTCCCACATTGTCCGGACGTTCCATGTACCTATAAAAATTGTTGCTCTGGTTGTTAGAAGGGGCATCGGCCTCGTGGCTTCCGAAGGAACTCGGCTTTCACCATGAAGCGTCATATTACCTCTAACTCCCAGGGCAGAGTTTAAATGGTTTGAGTTATTTTTTCTGGTTAGCGTTTTTTTAGCGAGTTAGGTTTCTACGGGATGGGGACGCTAACCCCATGCCCAACCCTCCTCCTTTACCCGGGCTTGGGACCGGCAGTAACTCTGGAAGATCTACAGGCGGAGTTGTACATATAAAGCTGTTAAACAATTATTATCAATCAATTAATATCACAATTTAACATAAGCAATACTAAGTCTTGGTGGAAATTCGTAGCTCAGCTGGATGATTTTAATCATATCATATGAGCGTATTACGTTTATCATTATTCGAAAATGGAAGAATTTCGTCAAAAGACAGGTTTCCACCCGAGGACAACTGTATTCTCTTCACAAGTGTTTTCGTCAGCATATTCTACCAACAAGTGTAAGATACAAACCTCCAATCACCTACCCAATGGGATGGAGAATATCTGTGCGAGGTGGAAGAACAATGGTATATTTAAGGATAACACAAGCAAACCATCCAGCTCAGAGTACAAAACTCCATTAAAATACCAAGTTATCTTAACTACTAATCATATAACAAAATGTACAATAGAATTTACAGATGATACTGGGTATTTTGTTGAATGGATATTCAGTATAAAGGTCTCATCTAATAAAATGTTAGTAGTAGCTAAAATGGCTCAGTAGTAACATCGCTTACAATTAAAAATACGCCATGCAAACGAATGTCATGTAACCGGGAGATGTAGCTAAAGTTTGACTGCTTTATAATTTCAACAATAAACTTAATATAATGGACAACTATTCTGTAGAGTAAATAACAAGTTGCTCAAGTTTTAGATTGAAATCATGAATCGACTAATGTCAGACCACCGTTGGAAACCTGGAAGCACTGAACGGCCGTTTCATCCTAGTATGGGACTCCTCAGCAGTTAGCATCCACGATCCCGCTCGCGAGACTCGAACCCAGTGCCTTCAGTCTCGCGCGCGAACGCTTAATCTACTGGACCACTGAGCCGGCATCCAATGGTGTTAATGTCTTACATCAACCAATCCACGAAATTGTGCGACCATCTTCCATTGTACTGAGGTAGATACCTGTCTCTACCCAACACGGATTACCTCCATTGGTCACGGCTTGTGCTTACATTTTACCTAAAGGTCTGAGATTGTAAATAAGACATACTATTGGAAAAACCAGGCACCACACCTAGTTACGGTCTCAGCCCATATATTCTTCTCTGAATCAAAAGGATAGATGTATAATCTAACCATGATTTGTGTATACATTATTTAGTTTATTAATCTAAGTTTCCTAGTATTCTCTGAGCCTTCACTTATCTTGGAAATTTGATCAGCCCTAATGGATTGTTGTCTGATGAAATCTCAGCACAGATTCAGAAAGCTCGTTTGACTTTTATCAACGTATGTCACTAATTAGGGTGAAAGCGAGATATCCATCTATCAATTAAGCGACCATTATACTGCACAGCAGTTCGTTCTGTCCTACTTTATGTTGGGGACGATAGATCCCCAAAAACTCATCGTTTGTAAATTTATCTTGTGGAGCTTGTATGCAGATGTATACGTGGGCATTTATTACCACCCACGCACATAGTCGATTGACGAACTTATCGATTAAATGTTTAAAAGCTCCATGGCAATACCGATTATATATATTTGTATATATACGTTTTTAAATTGTGTTGGTTGTGCTCACTCGTTTTCTGGCTGTTGTAAAATATACTTTCCATTCTAAGCTTGAACTTCTCCCTCTAGATAGCGGGGCTGGGATGCATTAGTAGCTAGCTTACTGGTCTCTGGTCACCAAGTCTTGTTTCTCGTTCGCAGATTAATTGAACTCGTGATAGTTCCAAAACCTAGCACTTTACGACTGCGACACGTGGACATTGAGAGTAGAGGCTACTCCTAAGCTACAAGTATTTGATCACAGATGTATCGATCACAGAAATACTGTTAGTATCTACTGGGATCACCGGATAAATAATAGTCAGGTTAAAAGCAGGATATTAAGAGACGATGGTAAATCAGTTGATGAAGTTTCACAACTTCATCGACTGAGATGATTGGACCACATGTTGCGTATGCCTGAACATTGATTAACACGACGCGCAATCATGACTAGTGTTGAAGATAGTCCCTAAATTCACTAAATTTTGACCTGAGCCATGTTGTTATATGCAGATTACTTGGTTGGAGTCCATGTGACTATCATAACTACTTCTATAAATCCAGTGTTTAACTTGCTGTGCTAATGAGGTGTGGCCACTTGAACCAATGCATAAATGTGCCTGATCCTACATTGTATCTGACTGACTAACTGACTTAGTTCATGGCTGATTGTAAAATGAAGCATATTGAAAGTATACATACCTATAAACAACATCATAAGCACAATAATGAAAAACCACAGTTGTTTTTTACTCATTTTCCTTTTTCTTTGTTTTAGTTATCAACTACTTACACAAGGTGATGATACATTTGAATTGATTCAATTATCCAATGAATTAATCAATAATCTACCTTCATCAGTTCCATCTACCTCAAACCATCATCATCATTATAATCATAATCAACCAATCTATTCAAATTATAATACACAATTGGAACATTCATATACTTATCATCAACAGAATACATTATCAACCATCAATCAATTATTACCATATCAAAATCGACCAGAACAATTATATTTAAAAGTGATGAAACAATTAGATTGGGAAACTAAACGTAATTATCATTTTATATTAAATGCTGAAGATAATGGATCACCAGCATTTACCGGTGAAATGAGTTTAATGGTAAGTGATCGTCATCAAGTTCCTGTTATACTTCACGTAATCCTTGGTATCTCTTTATACGTCCGTTGTATCAGTTCTATGAAAATGGAGTTGTAAAATTTAAGCAAAGATAGATGGTGGCAAGCAGTGGAATCCAGTTTGACGCGTGTTTCGTCATATTTGGGACTCGTCAGCTGGCTGTACCTGTATTCCTTAGTTGATATTTACTCCGCGACTCATCGCACAAGCAGGTGGCTATCAGTGCTCAGTAGCTAAGTGGATAATGTGATGATGTGTTGAAGCGAACGGTACTGGGTTCGAGACCCAGAGTAAACATCAACTGTGGGATGTAGATACATGCAGCCGACGAGTTCAAAATAAGAGGAAACGAATGTCCTGGATTTTGCTGTTAGCCACTATATATCCTTGCTAAAAAATCTTGTGACTTAAAGCTACATCGATTCAATCGGCAGTATGCACATATGCCAACAACAGATTGATCACTTGCAGTCCTCAATAACAATGTGGGAGGATACAAGTAAAATAACACCAAGTGAATTTGAGTTGTAAAATATATAGTGATATTTTAAAGGTAGTCACATAGTTGGCTATCCGATCACGAAACAACAACAAACAGTTAACAACATTAACTGACAACTGTAGAATCTATAGTAATAAATTAATAAGGAATATCCACAATCCTCTGCCACGTGATACAGTTTTGATCAACCACGGTTAAATTATAACTATTGGATGAATGAAAATCAATTCGGTTAAAGAGGTCAAGTTATTATTAGTTTCAATCTGATAATTGCACTAAAAAATCCTAGACAAAAATAAGGTTTACATCCATTTCGTGAAATATAAATGTGGCTGAGCTGCTAGGGATGTGAAGTAAATTAGATGATGGTTGGAGGTAGTCGACAGGAAACCCTGGAACCGGGATTCGTGCTACTTGGCACTCGTCAGCAATGCGTACCTGTAATCTTGACTGAACTGGTGCTCCCTGACAGATTCTATCCCGTGTCACCCAGCTTCACAGTCAGAGACGTTACCATTGAGCTATCCGGGCCGCGACCAACCTTATGTAGGACTGAGATGTAGTCACATTTGATTGATCACTGGGTGGTGAATTGGCACTCGTCAGCAAGGTGTATCTGTAATCTTGAGGGAACCAGTGTGTGTATTTTACACGATACTACTGAATAATATTAATTAATTAATGTTATCACTGGTCATTTTGAGACTACTATTTATAAAATGGTGGTTGGAGGTAGTCAACAGGAAACCCTGGACACGCATCGCCAAGTAGCACGAAACTCGGGTCCAGAGTTTCCTGTCGACTATCTCGACATAGTGCACACAACGTCGAGTCATCTAGACTGGTGGCCATATTGCAGCTTGGTCGATAGCATTCGATCTGCACTATGAAGAACTTGATGCACATGTCATTGATCACCACCCAGTGATCAATCAATTGTGATGGGAATTAAATGTTCTAATGTCTTGATCTGTCGCAAATAGTTCAAATTGTTATGAACGTGTGATCCACCTATTAGAGAGCAGCGTATTATCGATCGAAACAGGGACGCATAAAATACAAGCGAGCAGCCTAGATTCCTGATTGGTCCTGCTTTCCTGTCTAGCCCAGCCAATTGAGTCCAGAACACAAGTCTCAGCCTCGGAGATATGAATCGTTATATTTCAAACATACACTGTTTATATACCAAACAAACAGACTACATCGTACCATAAAATAGAAAGTAACATTTGTACAAGATTTAACCTTCAGGAAATGACACAAATAAATATTGACCAATAAGGAGATGACACGTTGGAAGAATATTGACCAATGGGGAAATGACACAATTTCTCATTCAGGAATAGCATTCGATAATTTCTGGGGTATTTTCTGAATACCCCAACACAAATAGCTGTAAATCATTCATAGTAGACTGTTCTTTTATCCAACATGTTTATACCATTCTGAAGATTGTATTTTTTATCGTGGGAAATTATTAGAAGGTTCTATAGTAGTAAGAATAGAATATACAATCATTGATGGTCACTGCTTTCACGTTATTTGATAACTTGTACGAACAGGGGGATAATATCTCAGGTGAAAACTAAATAGAAGAGTATGAACGCACTGTATGCAGCATTGTATGTCTGATATTGTTAAGAATTTTTTCAGTAAGTCGAAATGATCTGTAATAACATTGTCCTCACATCTTGGAACAAAAGTATATGAAATTGTACAATAGTCCAAATGTCTAGGTTTATGCATATACAGTCCAGTAGTAGACTATAGCTTAATCCAATCCTGGTATTATGTAGATGATATAGTCCTGTTTGGTGAAGACGCTGATAAAATTCAGTCTTCTGGTAGCACTAAATAACAACGTCAGGATAAATGGGATGAGTTTCTCTACATTGACTGAAGATTTCAAACCTAGTATGTTTCAGCTTATGTCGATACATGACTCTAATTGTGTTTGTTTAATGCTATGATACTCTCCATTTTACCTATATATAACATCACATGAGTAGTATGTCCTCATGTTGTAGTAGAGCCAATAAACTTGGAAGTTGTACTATAATCAAGTGACTTAAAATATGTTCACTGAACAATACTGTGTTTAATCCTTCTTCTAGAGTTAAACATATATGTTCATTGACAAATGGTCTTCAATAATGAACAGTTAGTTATTCAAGACTTTTCTGTTTGTCATCGATACTCCATGTGATAAAAGTTAATCACAAAATCAATATATCCAATGAGCAAAGATGAATAGTGGCTAGCAGTGTAATCCAGAACGCGCGTTTCATCCTATTTAACACTCATCAGCTGGATGTATCTGCATCTCAGAGTTGCCAGCCACATATGTTAACAACAGACTAGTAATGGTCTCCAACTTTTAGTGAAATTCCATTAAAAAACTAGTTGATAGATTAACCAAGTATAAATATATCACCTATCTGTGTTCACATGCCATCTCAAGGTGAAGTGACGTATGGGAAATTATCAATAAGGCATACCATTGGAAGAAGTCAATTATTCAACAATTGAAACATTCAAACTGTACATTTTTGGTCAGATACTAAAAGAAGAAAAAAAATGTAAATATGATTTGTGTATAATATGATTCAATTTAATAATCAAACACTTGTCATCTTAGTTTTCTTATCCGTATAGTAAGTACGACACATCTCACACTTTATACTACATTTAGCCTCGAATTGCCCTAGTACGGCCGAGAGTGAGGAGAGTCAGCTCTCCCTCTCAAAATTATCTCTCATCGCCACGTGTATACAACTAATGTCAATGAAGTCGTAATCACAACCTCCTCGTGGAAAGAGCGTTGTTTATGAAGTTAAGAGAAGGAAAAGCACATTTCCGGCGTTTAACCGAGTTGGCAGATATAGAGGATTCACCTAGGGGAGTTGGAAAACCCTGATTACACACCAATAGTACACATGGACTCCAGAATCCTGTAGGAACAAATGATATACTGATCACCGACTACTATCAAACTGCATCTCCTGACATTGCTCCACTACCTTGTGGATTAAACTTTTATGTCGAAAGATCCGGGTGTGGTCCCCTAAGTAAACTACCTGTGACGCATGTCTATTTGGTACCTTCTTGTATCAATGTATCAATACCAGATAATGATGATTACATGATATCTTCTATCAAATAATGTTATGGCAACTTGGACCGATGCATATACGTGCCTGGTCCTACGTTGCAGCTGACTGACTGACTATCAAATAATGTAATATCATTTCTATTTATATTTTAATTTTAGATAATTGTTACTGATGAAAATGATAATCATCCTATATTTCGTAATAAAAGTATCATAATTAGTGTACCAGAAAATTCACCTGAAGGTTTACATCTTATACAATTAATTGCTGATGATCCAGATGATGGAAAATCTGGTCAAATTATTTATAGTTTAATAAATAATGATGTCAACATTAATCCACCATCATCCTCCTCATCCTCATCCTCATCCTTATCGTCATCATCATCATCATCATCATCGCTATCGAACAGTATTGATCATTCTAATCAACATATTCATACTACTATTAATACTACTACTACTACTACTACTAATAATAATAATAGTAGTATTAGTAATGATATAAAGAAAAGTTTATTTAAAATTGATTCTAAAACTGGTTGGTTAATAATAAATGGACATTTAGATTATGAAATAACAAAACATCATCTACTACGTGTTATTGCTCGTGATCAATCTAATCATCCAGGATTTGATGAAGCAATAATTAGTATTTATATTACAGATCTAAATGATATACCACCACAGATCACAGTTGAATCAGTGAATCGTATTTCATCCAGTCAATCGATAAATGATAATAATCAATATAAAAATAATCAATTACAAGTATTTATCAATGAAACACCTGGACATAATCTAATCAATTATAAATTAGAAAATGAACATATTCATGAATATACTACTAGTACTACTACTACTACTACTAATAATAATAATAATAATAAGGATATTTTATTACCGACAATGATACAATTATTAGCATTTGTTGTTGTAAATGATCCAGATACAGGTTCCGGTGGTACATTTCAATGTCATTTAGAATCGAATACAATAAATAATAGTGATAAAGCATTTAGATCCAAGTTATATTATCCGACACAATATAGATTCAATGAACAAAGTCATTATTTATCATATATTCCAACTACTAGTACTACTAATACTATGAGTAGTAGTAGTAGTACTGGTACTATAAGTCAAAGTTCAATTGTTGGAATGTTTCAATTAAATCAAATATCTAATTTTAATTATGAATTAAATACAATTTATGGATTTGATTATGAATTTAGTAGAACAGAATCAGTTAAAGTGAGTTAAATGTTTGTTTGTTTGTTTTAAATATTGTTTTTCAAGGTTATTTATAGTAGATGTTAAACGTTTACTCGACAGACTGATAGGTTTTGGGTTTGAATCTCGTCGGGAGGAATCATGGATGAGCACTATTGAGGAGAGCCATACTTACTTACTTACTTACGCCTGTTACTTCTAATAGAACGTAGGCCGCCGACCAGTATTCTACAACCCACTCTGTCCTCAGCCTTCTATTCTAGTTCCATCCAATTCTTGTTCATTTTTCTCATATCTAACTGCATTTCCCGGAGTAATGTGTTCTTTGGTCTTCTTCTTCACCAACTTCGATCTTAAGGATTCTCAGTGAGGGCTTGTCTTGTGACTCAGTTCGGTGCTTTCCTCAATGTGTATTCTATTAACTTCCAGCGCTTGTTCCTGATTTCCTCCTCCACTAGAATCTGATTTGTTCTCTCCCACAGTAGGTTGTTGCTAATAGTGTCCAGTCAACGGATCCAAAGTATTTTGTGTAGACAACTGTTAATAAACAGTAGAACTGTCTCGACATTTGTATTGAAAATTCTGACTTTGATGTTGGTTGCCAATTGTTTTGAGTTTCAGATGAGGAGGATCATACTAAGACGAAATAACCGTCTAGTGTTTCCAAGTTTTCCATGCTGGTGGTCTAGCTTCAAATAATTCATAATCTTAACTATTAAACTTATTTATGTCATTCTATTTGTTTACACTTCAATAATTCTGTAGGTGAGACTATAATTTATGGATGATCTTTAAGTGACGGTAATGTGACCTTAAGAGTGTTCACGTAATAACTAGGATCAAATGGAGGTTATAAACCAGTGTGAGGAATTATAATTATGATTTGAACTTGATGGTTAAGGTTAAGAATTAGATTTTGGGTTTTCATAATGAAATGACATCAGTTATAATGCAAGAACTCTATTTAACTAAATGAATGAATGAATTTCGCGCCGAAATCCGAGACCTGTTATCTTATATCTGATTGGTTCATCCATAAATTACAATCTCGCCAATTTTGAATGATAGCTTGTGAATTCATCAAATTTCTTTTTTATTATCGCTTATTAGAAAGACATCGTAAAATGTGATTGAGTACTGTGTTTTAGTATGTAACTGGGATTGAATATTTTATCTAAATGAGGTTCGGATCTGGAGTATTGTGATAAATTATGCTTTGATTGATATTCGCAATGTTAATCTGCTAAAGTAATGTGATAAATGTTCGATCAACAATCCCTAATCTACATATTTATGAAGTTGTTGTGCTTACAAAAGATGTACCGATTAGCTTGTCACTGACTAACCTATGCTACTTCTACTTACTTACTTACTTACTTACTTACGCCTGTTACCCCCAATAGAGGATAGGCCGCCGACTAACATTTTTCAACCCACTTTGTCCTGAGCCTCCCTTTCTAGTTCTATTCAATTCTTGTTCATTCTTCTCATGTCTGTCTTCATTTTTCGGCTTATTGTGTTCTTTAGTCTTTCTCTTCTCCTTTGACCTTGAGGATTCCCAGTGAGGGCTTGCCTTGTGATACAGTTGGGTGTTTTCTTCAATGTATGTCCTATCCAGACAAGGCTCCAAATGGAGTTCTATGCTACTTATAACACATGGTAAATATTTATCTTTTACCTACCAAGCTCTCCATATCTGTTTGTCATAGACAACATGTTCAGTGTTGTTTAACTTGATATGAAATGAAAACGTTTAATGAAAATTAAATTACAGTGTATAGCCATTACTAAGTAAATGAACGAATAACGCAAAGTGTTTGATGTAACACATTCAAGAAACATTGAAATCAACGTCTGATATTGTGTTATTTATTTGAGAGATGTATCATACGATCAATAATTAATGTAACTATGTAAAATAATTAGAAAAATCGATCATGGTCAAATCTTATTGTTGTCAAGATGGTACAAAGTTACAAGTATATAAGATAGATTGGATACTATAACAGAAAAGAATACATAAAGGATATTGTTATAACTTGTGGGTTTGTGCCCTTATCAATGTATGATCCAATAATACCGCCAATTAGAGAACAGTGAATTATCGACCGGAACAATGAAGCATAAAACAAGCACAAGCAGTCTAGAGTCCTGACTCCTGACTAGCCCTACCTGTTAAGTGTAGATCAGCAATCTCAGCCTTCCCTATATGAATCCTATATTTCAAATATACTGAGTTTAGAAACAAATCAAACAGAGTACATCTTACCATAAAATAGGAAATAACATTTGTACAAGATCTAGCTCAACGTGGCGGTGAATCTGCAAAGTAGTGATTGATAAACACGGCATAAATCAAGAATGATAAATGGTATAATACTAGTTCATAGGTCAAAATAAAGCTTACAATAAGAGGAATATAAATATGCATAGTTTAGTTACATAACAATTATACAATAAAAGAATATATGTTTAGTATTAGTTCAGCACTAGATCCAATCAGTTACCATTCATTATTCTCACCTGGATATAACAGATATGTCAATTACAAGAAATAAAACATAAGGTTCGTTAAATACACCATATGTATACAAAATTCAGTTCTTATTCTGAGTAATGTTTTATAACTAAGGGTGGTGCTAGCTTAAACTACAAGTTACTAGTCTATACGATTGATTGAAGATGATCCTGAATTTGAATTTAACTAAATTATAATTACACTGAAATAATTTATCCTATCCCATACACACGAACAAATGAAGATAAAAACAGACAGTGTAGCAGCAGTTTCTGCATCAGTAGGCCTCAACATATACAAGGGGAAAACTAAGGTGCTCGAATACAACACGGAGAACACCAAGTAACACAATCATTCTTGATGGCGAAACTCTGGAAGATGTAGAATCCTTCACATACCTGGGAAGAATCATCGATGGAAAAAGAGGATCAGATGCAGATGTAAATGTGAGGATTGGCAAAGCAATAGCCGCATTCATACAATTGAAGAACATATGGAACTCAAAACAACTTTCAACCAATATCAAAGTGAGATTCTTCAATACAAACGTCAAGACAGTTCTACTGTATGGAGATGTAACGTGGAGAACTACAACAACCATCATCAAGAATGTACGAGTATTTATAAATAGTTGTCTATGCAAGATACGCAATATCCGTTGGCCGGATACCATCAGTAACAACCTAATGTGGTAGAGAAGAAACCAGCTTCTAGCTGAAGAGGAAATTAGAAAAAGATGATGGAATGGATAGGACATACATTCCGCAAATCACCATACTGTATCACGAGACAAGTGTCAACTTGGAATCCTGAAGAGAAGAGGAAAAGAGGAAGGCCAAAGAACACGTTACGTCAAGAAATAGAATCAGATATGAAAAGGATGAATAACAACTGGAAAGATCTGGAAGGGATTGCCCAGGACAACGTTGGATGTCGAATGCTATTGAGCGGGCTATGCTTCTTCACGAGGAGTAACAGTAAATAAGTAAATAAGCAATAATTTAAAAACATAAAGGATAATCAAACTGTTTCTGATAATAATGAACTGCACACTATTTTGACTTCTATCCATAAAATTGTGGCTATATAATTGAAATTAAGCTACTATAACTATATTTTATCCATCTATAGTATTCTCTTCAGGATCACTGTTTCAGAAAAAAATACCTTACAACATAGAAACCACGTTCTTGATTATGAGTAAAATTTGAATAAGTCAATACAAACAGTTTTTCAAAATGGTAACACTAGTTGAAATCATGAGTCAATTAAAGATAGACGACCAGCATGGAAAGCCTGGAAGCACTGAATGGCTGTTTTGTCCTAGTATGGGAATTCTCAGCAGTGTGCATCCATGATCCGGCTCCCCGCAAGATTCGAATCAAGGACCTATCATTCTCGCGCAAGGCGCTTAACCAACTAGACCACTCAGCCAGCATCCAACAGTGTTAATGTCTAATTTCAACCAATCCACGAAATTGCGCCACCGTACACCATTGTCTTCAATGAGCTGATATCTCATAACAGACCTGGTTGAACTCCACTTGTCACGGCTTCTCATTAGAATTCCAGGAAATGTCTCATGAAGTCAGTCACTAGTGATATTGTTATGAAATTATTATTTACCCTCTGTTAATCATTGAAACTAATGAGTATCCTCATCCTAAATAAGAAAAAGAGAGTCGTTGAGAGATAAGTTAATCATTAAATATTATTAACCATCAATATGTACAGGCTTCAGTTAAATTGATCTTGAATAAAAGAACACGTTTTATCAATATTTAGTCTACCAAGTAACTAACTAACTAACTAACAAGCTTAGCAACAAATATATTTTTTTTTGTGTGTGAGCAAAATTGTCCAATAACGAAGTATATTTCATTGAATAAATAATTCATTTGTAAATAGAATGAACGTGGTTTTCTTCTCTAGTTACTAAGTTATTTTCTTGCTCAGTTAATTCAGTCATTGAATGAACTGAATCAATAAAAGCACACAGATCCCTTTGAGCTGTATAAATATCTCCGATTCTCTGAAAGCAATAGATGGCCATTTTGTCCTAGTATGGAACTCCTCAAAAGTATAAATCCACAATCATGTATACAGGACTCGAACCTAGAAACTTCGGTTTCGTGTACGAAAGCTTAACTTCTGTACCGCTAAATTGGTATCTAATTATGTTAATATCTAACTTCAATCAATCCACCACTAAAGAGTCCCATACTAAGACGTGACAGCTATCTAGTGCATCCAGGTTTTCTATGATGGTCTAGATTTAATTGACTCATGAATTCAATTAATAAACTAAATTATCCACAAAAAATAGTTATTCAAAATATAACTTCTTTCATACATTCAGACTATTACTTACTTACTTACTTACTTACTTACTTACTCCTGTTACTCCTCATGGAGGAGCATAGGCCATTCACCAGCAATCTCCATCCAACCCTATCCTGGGCAATGCTTTCTAGCTCTTTCCAGTTGTTATTTATCTCGTAGAACAAAAAAAAACGCCAACCAGATTAAACAAATTAACCTATTGAAACTCTACCCTTAGAGTTGAAGGAAGAATTATAACATCTAAGAATGAAAACCGAGATTCTTCGGAGGTCAATACTCCTTCTTAAAACCATAGTAACAATTTTTATAAGTACATGGGACATCTTTTTCAAACCAAATAGTAACATAAATTGACAAATGTAAAATATTGAAACATTGATCAACATTGAAGAAAAAAAATTTTTTGGTTGATAATTAATTAAACCACATGTATAAATTTGAAGTCGAAATTCTTGTTGTCCTTCTTGTTGTTGTTGTTGTTGTTGTCGTCGTACCAAAATTTTTCTTTCATCTTTAATATCAGTTGCTATGCTATATTTTTTTCTGTTTTTCCTTTTATATCTATCTCGATCTGTCACACACATGCACACACACACGTACACATACAGCACACACACACGCACACACACACATATATATATATATATATATATATGCAAGTAATCAATATTGTCGGAAATCTACAATTCACTTTCATTAAAAATAAAATCATGATATGTTCATGTAAAATCATGATTGGTTTATAGAGAAGACAGATAAATAAAAAGTACATTCAATAAAAAGATGAATTCAATTGATTCTATAATGATTGTAGTAATTTGTATAACCATACAACAACAAAAAAAATAAAGAAAAAAAAAAACCAAAATGACACAAAGATGATATATATTCAATGAATAAACTCGAATATACTAGTTATAGGATAGGAATTTTGTATTGGATACAGTTGGATTGTTATGTATATATGTTGTTGTTGTTGTTGCTATGGTGGTGGTGGTGGTTGTTGTTGTTGTTGGTTTATATCATTGCGTAATCATATAAAATGTCGGTAATGTAAACGTAAATGATGACTGCCAAAATGTAACGCTATAAAAAAAATATTACATATCATGGTTTTGTTTATTTATGATAGTTTGATCAATTTCTTAAATAGCTAACTAAATAATACAATGTCTTTTAAAATGAAATGGGACTGTGTTCGAGTTGTAGAGTGAATATCAACTTTAAGATGAAGGTACAACATCCAGTTGACGAGTACTAAAAATAGAATGAAACGCACCTCCTGGATTCCACTGCTAGCCAATGTTCATCTTTGCATATAATGTTTGTGAATTAAGGCTATATGTAGACGATATGCACAGTATGCATATATGGGGCAATATGAGACTGCTCAATTGCAGTCCTAAACATCAATGATAAGATTCAAACAAATAATGCCAAGTGAATTTAATTAAGCAAGTATGTGTAGTTTTACAACATCAATTGAGTTTAGTTAGAAAACCATAGAATGTAGGAAATCACTAGACAGTTGTGTTATCATAATATGAGACTCTACAGTATTGTCTATCAACAAATTATAATCAGAGAGGTGTTTTGTGGATATTATTTAATTGTTGAGATCATGAATCAATTGAAACTAGATCGCCATGGAAAACCTGAATGGTGGTGGAACTTCATGGATTGGTTGAAGTTAGACATTAACACGCGCTTTCATGCGAGACTGATATGTTCTAAGTTCGAATGTTGCTAGGCGAAGTCGTGGATGTGCACTGTTGACGAGTCCCACAATTGGGCGAAACGACCTTCCAGCAATTCCAGGTTTTTCATGATGGTATAACTTTAATTGACTCATAATCTTAATAATTAAATATCAACAAATTCACCATATATCAAATACAAAATCTTCAAATTTCCTTAAAGAACTTTACCTATATTAAACCCTATGAGCTACCATCCAATAAATTCACAATATCAAATATTCACATCTCAATAACACTGAAGGATCAGGATATTGAAATCAAATGAATTAGAACATCATTCAAAGCTCAATAATGAATGAAATTAAAAGCGTGCAAAAGCTTTAATGATTAAATGGTTTGTTAATTTAACCATAGTTACTACTTATCTTATATTTCTTGTTACCAATCAATTAATTAGTCTGGATTACTAATTCACTAAATGTAACCCAAATTTACCTTATTAGGTTATTGTTTTTTTAAAGTTTCAAAATTGAATTTAACTCGTTATATTTCACTTGAATTACTTTTCTTTGTGGTTAGCGTTCCTTTTTAGCCAGTTAGTTTACTACAGAATGGGGTTGCTAACCCAATACCCAACCCTCCTTCTTTATCCGGGCTTTAGACCGGTAGTAACCTCTGAGGGGCTCCAGGTGAAGTTGTATTGTTTTACTTACAATTTAGTAGTTTTATTTTTCTCCCCTTTTATCTTTCACAGACACAGTTTTTCTCACTCATTCTGTTTTTTTTTTTGTGTGTTTTGTTTTCTTTCAATACATCCAATAGATTGTATGCAGTGATAATGGGATACCAAGTCTTACATCAAGTTATGTAATTAAAGTTATAGTACAAGATTTAAATGATAATCCACCAGTTTTTTCAAAAGATTATCATAATGTAAGTTGAATTTTATTATGATTTTATTGTTAATCTGAATTAGTTACTAAGTGAATTTTTTTGTTGTTTATATGTAAAACATAAATGAAGAAAAAAAAAAGGTGTCTGTATTTCTGGTTTTTAGTTATGTAATATAGATATAGTATATTCACTAAATGAATAGAGAATTAGAGATAGGGTTTTCATCAAGAAGTGATATCGTGGTGTGTGATACTTATATTGACATAAGTAGTATATGATGTTAGTTGTGAACAGAATATCTGGCAGTAGAGAGACAAGAGGATTGAACGGTAAGAAAATGGAAACAGAATTCCATTTGTATGAAAATGCAAGAACAATGAAATCTCAGTCATTTTGAGTCAATTGATAAATATTTTATGAATCAAGCATTTACTATATGATGGTTAGATTTTATTAACAAGTCCTGTAATTTTGTGTCAAATACATTCGATTGATTCCTCGCTGGTGTTCTTGTACACTACATTTGGCGGAGTCGGCCGTAGCGGGTGCTGTTGACGGAGAGGATTGGTGGGAAGTGAGGATGCTGGGCGGACATTGAATGTAGATGGCTCACCAAGTCGCTGGGGCACAGGCTTTGAACGTCCCAAGTGCCAGGAGGATGTCGGATGTGAATGCCTCGGCAGGTCGATGGAGATGTATAGGTCAGCGCACCACGGACTCGACATTTCGATGGAGGGCGTCGCACAGACTGCAGAGAACGGGTGCTTTAAAGAGGGGACGAGTGTGGTGTGGGTTACTTATATTCACACAAGTAGTATATAACGGTGGTCAGGCATAGAATGTATTTCAGCAAAAGATCGATAAGGAAAGAACGTAAACGGAACGAAATTAGTATGAAAAGGCATGAACAATGAAATCTGAGACAATGGACTGATATTTGCTAAAGAAACAGTGAAGTTTGACACGATGGATTGATATTTTGCAAATTAACTATTTACTATATGGTTCTCAGATTTTATTGAAATGCTCTGTAATTTCGTATCGAATACATTCGATTGTCCCCACTCATGTTATTGTTGACTACAATGTCGTGAAATACTGTTTATATTGAGATAAGTGTTATATATATGTTAGTCAGGATTAGAATGTCTGACAGCAAAGGGTCAAGAAGGTCGAGGACAGAAAGAACGAGAACAAAAAGAAATTGATATGGAAATGCAGTAACAATGAAGTCTAAGATTATTGACTGATATTTACAAAAGAAATAGACAAGTTTGAGACAATTGGTTGACAGTTAGCAAATTAAGGATTCACTTTATAATTCTCACATTTTACTAAGAGGTTCTGCAAGATCGTATTCAAACACATTCGACTATTCCCAATTGTGTTCTCGTTCAATACAGTAACAACTTCAGTGGTTCCTCATTTGTATTCGCGAGATCTTACATTAATTATTTAATGGTTTACCTATTCGACATCTGAATCTTCAAGTGATTATTTAAGTAGATAATAGTTACCTGCATGCTGATTACTAGTTAAAAGATTCATTATTTGAGGTCATACATTGTGTAGGTTATTACAATAGAAGTAATTCAGTAGCTCAACAATCTCATGCATCACTGGTTGAAATCATGAGTCAATTGAAGCTAGACCACCATGGAAAACCTGGAAGCACTGGACGGCCGAATCGTCCTAGTGTAGGACTCCTCAGCAGTGCGCATCCAAGATCCCACTCCTCGCGAGATTCGAACCCGGGACCTATCATTCTCGCGCCAGGTGCTTAAACATCTGCTCACTAGTGACTGACTTCAAGAGATACTCCTGGAGTTCTAGTGAGAAGCCGTGACAAGTGGAGTTCGACCAAGTCTGTTGTGAGATATCAGCTCACTGAAGACAATGGTAACGGTGGCGCAATTTCATGGATTGGTTTAGGTTAGACATTAACACCGTTGGATGCTGGCTCAGTGGTCTAGTTGGTTAAGCGCCTAGCGCAAGAATGATAGGTCCTTGGTTCGAATCTCACAGGGAGCGGGATCGTGGAAACGCACTGCTGAGTGGTCGTATACTAGGACGAAACGACCGTCCAGTGCTTCTAGGTTTTCCATGGTGGTCTAGCTTCAATTGACTCATGATTTCAACCAGTGAAATTTCTAAAATCTTCACACAACCCCTCCTGATAATAATCTCATAGTTCAACAGAAATGAACTCATTTTATAGGTTAGATGCATCCAGGATACTGATTCGGTGAATAATTAATATTATACTTAACGTGAAAACTGAAGACAGTTGTACACGTGTGAATCTGGCCTTAGTCACTGTTGAAGAGTTTTGATCAGTTTAAGAAGCAGATTAGAGACAAGGTTTTGATGTGTTAATTAATAAAGATAAGACCGTTCTTCTAATCAATATATGTGACCAACAGAAATTAATGTCGAAAATTTTACATTGAATATTATGGTTGATGTAAGTGTATATTAGAAAAAAAGACAGTCCTACTGTACGGAACTGAAACATGGAGAACTACTGAAACCATCAGCAAAAACGTAAAAGTATTTATAAACAGTTGTATATGTAAGATACTCTATGTCAGTTGACTGGATACTATCAGGAACAGCCTACTGTAGGAGAGAACAAATCAGATTCCAGCTGAAGAGGAAATTAAGAAAATACGATGTAATTGTATAGGATACATTTTGACAAAATCATCAAACTGAATTACGAAGCAAGCGCTAACTTGGAATCCTGAAAGGAATTGGAAAAATGGAAAGCCAAAGAACACACCGCGCCAAGAACTTGAAATAGGCATCAAACTAATGAATAGCGATTGGAAGGACGTGGAAAGGATTGTGCAGGACAAAGTCGGATGGTGAATGTTGGTGGGCGGCCTATACTCCATCATGCAAGGTAACAGTCCATTGTCAGCCACATAAATCATCTAATCACTATGTTATTTATATAACTCATGTATACCAGTATTAGGAAATTGTATTGATTAAACTGTTTCCCATACATAACGTTACAAAACCTGAAATTTAATTATAATTCAATTACTTACTTACTTACTTACTTACTTACTTACCTCCTTACTTATGTCTGTGAGCCCTCATAGAGGAACATCAACCAGCATTCTCCATACAACTCTGTCCTAGACAAACCTTTCTAGTTGATTCCAATTGCTATTTATTCTTTTGATGTCTAATTCTGATTCATGATGTAGTGTGTTCTTCGGCTATCCTCTTTTTCATTCCTCTTCAAGATTCCAAGTTAGTACATATCTTGTGATGTAGTTTGATGTGTTTTGTAATGTATGGTCCTATCCACTTCTAATATCTTTTCCTAATTACCTCTTCCTTTGAATGTTTAAAACCTAATTTACTTTATAAAATAGATAAAAAAAAATTTGCTTGAAATTAGGTAACCGTCACAAATAGGTTTAATTTTTTTGGTAAAAAAAAGTGCTAATCAATATTGAACACACATTTGTACTTGATATAAATTATTGAACATATGTGTACTATTTATTTGTAAATGATTTAAACAACTGTTTATATTTAATAGTTGAGATCATGATCCAATTGAAGCTAGATCACCATGGAACCTGGGAGTGGTTTACAGGTTAAGCATTTACACGCGTGACTGATAGGTCTTGGGTTCGAATCTCATGAGGTAGGATCTTAGATGTGCACTGCTGAAGAGTCCGACAGTAGAGCGAAACGGCCGTCCAGTGCTTCCAAGTTTTCCATGGTGGTGGTCTAGGTTCAATTGACTCATGATCTTAACTATTAAAATTACTATAGTATCCACAAAAATCAGCTTCTGATATTAAACAACTATTTATATTGAAATTGTGAGAGATATAAATTATTTTCAGAAGGGGTTTTGTGGAGATTGTAGTAATTTCAATGATTAAAATCATAAGTCAGTTGAAGCTAGACCACCATGGAAAACCTGGAAGCACTGGACGGCCGTTTCGTCCTATTATGGGACGCCTCAGCAGTGCGCATCCACGACCTCGTCCCCTGTGAGATTCGAACCCAGGACCTACTGGTTTCGCGCGCGAGCACTTAACCACTAGAACACTGAGCCGGCCAGTATCCAACGGTGTTAATGTCTAACTTCAACTAATCCACGAAATTGAGCGACACATCCACCATTGTCTTCAGTGAGTTACTATCCCACAACAGACCTGGTTGAACTCCACTGATCACTACTTCTCAATAGAACTCGAGGATATACCTCTTGAAGTCAGTCACTAGTGAGCATATGTTGATTATTATCAGAAGGAGTTTTGTGGAGATTGTAGTAATTTCAATGATTAAAATCATAAGTCAGTTGAAGCTAAACCACCATGGAAAACCTGGAAGCACTGCTGAGGAGTCCCATAATATGATGAAACCGCCGTCCAGTGCTTCCAGGTTTTCCATGGTGGTCTAGCTTCAACTGACTCATGATCGTAATCATTGAGATATGAATTAGTCTAGAAAAATTTTTCAGTTAAAAAGTAAAGAAATTTTTAGGTCATCTTCATCATATTAATCATTCTCTATTCCCGTCCTCTTTTATTATATCTTCTCAACGTTTTACTGTAAGGGTTTCCATTTTTGATTGATGTTATATACTACTTATATCTGTTGACATCAGTAGCACACTACAATATTAAATGATAATCTAGAGAATTAGGTCAGCATGAAGGATCAAACAAACATGTTAGTAGCTATTAAACAGTTCTCAGTCAATGTGAATCTGTCAAATGTAAGGAACTGTGTTGGGGTGATACAGAAAACTTTTTGCAGAAGATAAGAAAGGATCAGGAAAACACTAAGAAGCATTTTATCCAATAAGTGTTCACTTGAAGTTTAGCCAGAAACATAAACAAATTGAAAAATTACATGTAGAGTTTTTGATTGGATGATTAGATATAGTACTACTATGTTTAGTAGCATTCCAGAATTTTCGGGAAACCCAAGGACATCTAAAATACTATAAAAATCCTATGTTTTCTGTACTAGAACGAACCTTTGGAGTAAAGTGCTTCAAGCACGTTTTGTGACTTTTCTCTCATATTCAAGTCGCTGAGTAGTTCTAGCTTAAGGGTTACTAGAAGAGTTTAAGAACCAAATATAGCGTTTAGTTGGCAAGACTTATCAGGATGTAAGTCACGATATGAATGAGTTTCTTTACTTGAACACTGGAAGACACAAGTTCGAATCTTGAAAGAAATATCGGTTATCATTAAGATTATAGATATGCTTTGCTGACGACTATCGCTTATCAAGTTATTGTGCAGAGACCTTACTCTATTCAAAACCACTACAAACAGAATATAATTAGATAAACTATGAAAACGAGTTCGAGAATACTCCTTTATCAGTCAGTCAGTCAATCAGTAACAGCGTAGAACTTCGTACGTACGAGCATCAGTTCAAGTTGCCATACCACATTAACACAGAGATGTAATTGTTGATTCAAATCCCATAGTGGTAGAGGTAGTAAAACTATAAGGAGTAATTGGAAAGATTAGGGTTTGAAGATGTTAATCAACGAGTATAATCCAGCGAAATAAATTTGGATAGAGAAAAAAAGGGACATAACAAATTCAAAAGATTAGAATTTGTGAGAACACAAAGAGTGGATGCATCTGCGCCATTGCAAACTATTTTGAACCATTTTATTAAGGGTCTCTAATTATCGGTTGCTATCATCTCATGGATCCCAACCAGGTTGTCTACACCTACCATCATGACTCAGTCCACTTGTCAGTGACTTCATGGATTTGTGCCATGTTTTGGTCTGGCTGCTCCTAGCTTTCTTTCAACTTACTCCTACACCATAAAACATGGCACGTCGAGTCAGTCGGTGGTTGGGCGTACATAACATCTAGGAACCTGGCTTCAGATCCTAAGGGACAACTGCTTGAGGCCGGTCGTTCACGGCCATTTTGTAGGAGTTTTAACGCGTTAGCGCCGTTCTTCAAAAGGCCTTACCGCCGGAAACGGAGATTCTTAATGTAAAGTGAGCTGTGACATTTTCAGGGTCAAACTTTTTTAACCCCCTCCTTCCTTGTGAGAAGGCAGCATCGCTGCAGATGCTGATTTTCCGAGGGATACACCTCACTGCTGTCATACCCCTCTACGGTCAGCAGTACAAACTCGCCCTCAAACACTGAGCTGCTGCTTCTATTCTTACCGTTCTCTAATCGACCTGCCTGGCATGGTAGAACCTACAAGAACATATGTTCCAACCAATAAATCTCGACTGGTTCATCGCGGTAGGCAAGCCCGATCACCACGTCAACGTATCATCTACGATCGAGATACTCCTATATAGACAATTCATTTGCTTATTAGAATTTCCCTATCTAATACAAATCATTTTAACAGAAGCACTTTGTTATTACACTTAAAGGTAAACTAACTACGTTTGATTTTGGCTCCAAATGAAATTGTAATTAATCAGTTCATTTCCATTCTGTGTCAGCTTCATTGCAAGTTGTGTTCATTTCATTTTTAATTATTCTCTAAACTGGGTGACTACTATGTTCTTGTCTAAATGAATTGCATTAAACTATCATAGAACGGTAAAATAATCTTCTTTTTAAGCGATTAAGTTATTTTATCTTTAACCAAGAGAATTACATTCTTAGGTTGTCAGGGGTATATAAATTCTTTGACAAGTTCCTGTTTTGCTAATCTGTTCACTTAAAGTAATTGAGATTTCGATGGGAAGATATTTTTTTTCTTAAATAACCTGTCAGATCACCATTAAAAACCTGGAAGCATTGGATGACAGTTTCGTCCCACTGTACAATTCCTCAACAGTGCTCACCCACGATTAGTGCTTTCATCAATCGATTGATAATCTCAATCAAAAACTTAATAATTTTCATAACTCCATATTGATAAGTATAAACTGATGATGGTGTTATTTTGCATAAGTTATATTTACAATTTTTATGGATTGAAACTGTATACAACCCAACTATTTTGTTTGAAATTTCTCTATAAGACGATTGTTTAATGTTTAACTAAAGGCTTTATAGAATTTAAACAATGTTTATTTAGACAAAGATGGACGCTGGCTAGCAGTGGAATCCACGACATGAGTTTCGTTCTATTTGGTACTTATCAGATGGATGTCCCATCATCCAAAAGTTGATATTCACTTTGGCATTCGAACCTAGTGCCATTCGCCTGAAGCAAGTGGAAATAAAACTTCAGTAGCTAAGTGAATAACGAAACGTCTTTTCAAGCGTACAGTACTGGTTTCGAGTCCCGAAGTGAACACCGACTCTGATATGCAGCTATGTACAGCTGACGAGTCCTAGAGTTGAACGAAACGCTCGTTCTGGATTCCATTACTAACCACTATCCATCTTTTGCTCAAAAAGCTTGTGACTTAAAGCCTAATCGAGGCAATCCGCACAGGATGCACATATACCCATAAGAGACTGATCTGTCCTAAACAACAATTGGAAGATATAGGCGAACAACACCAAATTAAATATAAACTTCACCCTATTTCACAAGCAAGTGGCTATCAGGACGCAGAAGCTAAGTGAAGAATGCGATGGCGTTTCATGTGAACAGTACTGGGTTCGACCATCAGAGTGAACAACTACTCTGAGATGCAGGTATAAACAGCTGACAAGTCCAAGAATAGAACAAAACACTCGTCCTGGATTCCACTGCTAACCACTATCTATCTTTGCTTAAAAAGCTTGTAACTTAAAGCTATATCGAGGCAATCCGCACAGGATGCACATATGCCAATAAGAGACTGATGAATTTCAATTCTAAATAACAATGGAAAGATACAAATAAAACAACACCAAGTGAATAGATCAGTTTCAATATAACAATATTGATTATTCAATGAATTATCTGTTACCTAATTATGGTTGTTTTTTGTTTTTCTCATAGTTTTTTATACAAGAGAATAGTCCAATCAATACATTGATTAATAAAGTAATAGCAACTGATGTAGATAGTGAAAAGAATGCTGAAATTAAATATCAACTTAGTCAAGATGGTGAAGAATACTTTACTATAAATCAATTCGATGGAAGTATTTATACAAAAATAATATTTGATAGAGAATTAAAACAAAAGTATGTTACATTAACAGTAATGAATTATGTATTATGAAGGTATATGGAATTTGTGTTACAGGAATTATTGATTTCTCTGTAAGGTTTCAATGAATTGAAGAAACGTTTTTTTTTTTTTATATGAGATGATAATTTATGAATGACCTTTATGAGACTCTAAAGTGACCTTGAAAATATCCACCAACTTGCTTAGTTACTTACTTCGTTACTTATGCCTGTTACTTACAATGGAGCATAGGCCGCCGACCAGCATTCTACAACACACTCTGTCCTCCATTTCTCGGTGTTATGTATTCTTTGATATTCCTCTTCATCCCCTTTGACTTTGAGGGTTCCGTGTCAAGGCTTGCCTTGTGGCACAGTTTGGTGTTTTCCTAAATATGTGTCCTATCCACTTGCATCACTGCTTCCTCATTTCTTCCTCCACAAGGATCTGGTTTGTTCTCTCCCATAGTAGATTGTTGCTCATAAAGTCTGTCCAACGTATCCGAAGTATTTTGTGTAAGCAACTGTTAATAAACACTTGTATCTTCTGGATGATGACTTTCGTGGTTTTCCAGGTTTCAGCCTCATACAGTAGAACAGTCTTAACATTTGTATTGAAAATTCTGACCTTGGTGTTGATTGACAAATAGTTGTTTTGAGTTCCAGATGTTCTTCAGTTGCTTTACCGATCCGCGCCTTCACATCTGCATCAGATCTACCATGTTCATCAATGATACTGTTCAAATATGTAAATGTTTTTTTTACATCTTCCAAAGCTTTTCCGTCAATTGTGATTCGATTGTTGCATACTGTGTTGTATCGGAGAATCTTGTTATTCATCCACCTACTAATTAGAATTAAATGAGGGTTATAAAGAAGTGTGAGGAATAAGAATTATGATTTATAGTTGATGGTTAAGGTTAAGAATTAGATTTATGGTTTTCATCACGATTAGACATCAACTTTACTGCCAAAGATCTATTTATTAAATGGATGAGTGAATTACGCGCCTTAATCTAAGACTTGTTTTCTGGAATCGGATTGGTTTATCTATAAATTATAGTCTCACCATTCAATATAGGAAAATATATGCATAGTAATTATTAAAATGACATGTATCAATCATTATATTGAACAAATTAAATGTATCTATTACTTAAACATAGAGTATCAGGGAAATGATGATACGATTGATTCTCATCTATACTACATACCCATAGATATCTAACGGTAAGAGATTGCATTACGTCGCTTTTAACTGCAGAATTCACACTTGAATCGATAAGTCAACAAACTTTCTACGAAATATCAGTTTATAATTTGTTCTAGAAGTTGGATGTCTACTGATCAGTAACATTCTGCTGAGAATCTTTCCTAGTACTGTCAGTAATATGATACCTCTGTAGTTTTTACATTTGCTCACATCTGCTACCCTTAGTATCTTGATGAGTTATCCTTCTTTCCAGTCCGTTGGCACTTATTCTTCCTCTCATATGTTCCTGCATAAAATGTAAAGCATACTTACAGTTACTTATATGTTTGACTTCAGAGCTTAAACTGATATATTGTCAGGTTCTGTTGATTGCCAACTATTGATTTGTCTGATGACCATCCTGATCTCTTTGATCGTTAGTAGAATGATATTTATAGGAAAGTCTGTGTGTGTTGTTTTGATATGCAGCGGGTTCAGTTGGAGTTCTTCATAGTGCTCTCCCTCCCTCTATTCTGAAAGTACTGAATATAAGACATACTGAACACTGAAAACCCTACATACAACTTAAGCCAAAAAAGATATTCTGTCTTTTGAAATGTAGTTATTGTGTGACTTCATTTCACATATTCAAATTTGTGAGTCACCGTTACTCAATCATATTTAGTTTAGATGATTAACTACACAAACAATACTATTTAGTATCAATTTCCAATCCCTTGGTTGCCTCTTCCAACTGAACAAGTTGGTGAAGCCTAGTAGGCTCTTCTGTAGAGAAACAGGCCACATCAAAGCATAACACAACTACCGGGACTAGAATAGTTGTTTTTGTAATGTGTTGGAGTTTGCCCCGTAAGGAGCAATCCCATAAATTACATATACCACTTTTGTGAATTTTTTGTCGTTTTTCGATCCAAGACTAATTGTGCTGTAATTCTTTGTGGATTTCGTAATCATTTTGCGCGTATCGGTCAAGTGGGTGATTATCCATATCTCTACCACCCAGGTTATCGCTCACGTTAGTTCATGGGTCATCCGTCCTACTATCCAAAAGGCAAGACGCGGGTTTCGCCTCCCTTCAATCCATTAAAAACAATATACATCAAAGCGTATTATGGATCTTAATTAAAATAAAGACTACCTGCTTAAATATCTAGGATACATGTTCTTGACATCTAGATCTTTCAACAAGTTATGCCTTTTGTTTATTTCAATTGATCATTATATTACTGAATTACACAAATTATTCAGGTGTGTTTTTGAAAAATTCATAACCTATCTCTGTACAAATTAGAAAAGAGAACAATCCAAGATATTGTGGTCGCTGCCAATATGTATTGAAGAGAATCTGTTGGGGATGATAGATCCCTTCCGAAAACTCACATTTTGTAATTTTATCTTATCGATTAAACGTTCAAATTTTGAATGGTAATCAATTGACGAATTTATTGATGAAATGTTTAAAATAATTTCCATGACAACATCGATTATATATATATTTCTATAAATACGCTTAATTTGTGTGCCTGATTGATCTGGTATCTGCTGGTTGCCTGTAAAATACACTTTCGACATCTTACCAAGACTTTTTGATCGAGTTAGCTGAGTCGGGGACAATGAACCAGAATAGCCTATCGAGTCTTGGAATTCTTGATTCTTCGTTCTGTTCCGAGTGGGACGAATCAGTAGTAGCATTCAAGCCTAACGAACCTAACAGAATCAATATTATTCAGATGGATATCCATTAGATTATTCATTTCAGATATGTAAATAATTTACACTAAAGACTAGTACTCAATCTTAGACTGACATTGATAACTTGGAAGCATTGAATGGCCGTTTCGTCTCGGCATGAGACTCCTGAACAGTGTGCAACCACGGTCCTGAGCACAGGATTCAAACCCGGGACTTTTGGTCTCATGCGTGAACGCCTACACTCTAGAAGACTGAGATGGTATCCAATGATGTTCATGTTTAGTATTTCCAGGTTTTTCATGGTGATCTAACATCGATCGATTCATGATCTTAATTTAAAAATACTCAACAATCACCACAACTGATAATTATCATGTGCTCATTAGTGACTAGCTTGAACATGGATTTCCTGGAGTTCTGTTTAGAAACCATGACCAGTGCAGTTCATCCGTCTGATTCATTCGCCATTCGCTCCCTTAGGATCCTGAAGCCCATTTGCACTACTATTTTAGAATCAGGATTTTTTAACTCCCCTTTATAAAACCTCCAGATCCACCAACCCGGTTAAAGTGCCGAAAACTCACTTCTCGTTATCAGCAAGGTGATATCTGCAATCCTGACGGAACTAATTCTTTTCATTAAATTCATATTGTCATTATCGAATTATGAAACGATTTTCACTGTTATCTTCTTTAATTTTTTTTTCTTTTTTTAAGTTATCGATTTCAAGTCTATGCTAATGATAATGGTCAACCGATTGCATTAACAGCAACCACTACAGTTGAAGTGACTATTGTTGATGTTAATGATAATACACCAATGTTTGTCGGTTTAGATAGAGATAATTGTTATCATTTTCGTATAGCAGAAAATCAACCACCGAATACATATGTTGGTATGTTAAAAAAATTTGATATGTATGTTAATCTGGTTAGCGTTTTTTTTTAGCGATTTCATTTTCTACTAGATCATGTCACTAACCCCATTCCCAACCCTCCTCGTTTATCCTGGCTTAAGACCGGTAGTAACCCCAGCGTGGCTACAGGATGAGTTCATCTGTATAAATTATAATCAAAATAGTTATTTGAAAGATCTTTTGAGATTAGTTGTTATTAAATACTTTGTTTATACAAGATTTGCTTTTGATTATACAATAGTGTATTACTGATAATGTAACATAGAGTTACAATATATTATAAATTAGATTTGATTCTATGTTGAAATGTTGACTAGCCATCACTCTTCGCCAAATAGCACGAAATCCTGGTCCAGAGTTTCCTATTGACCACCTCTAACCACCATTCTATCTCAACATAGTGCATGCAATGTCGAGTCACCTAGGCTAGTGGCCGAATTGCGACTTCGTCGATAGCAATCGATCTGCCTTAAGAAGAACTTGATACACATGATATTGATCATCACCCAGTGATCAATCAATCATCATTACATCTCAGTCTTACAGGAGGTCGGTTGCTGCCCGAACAACTCAGTGGTAATGTCTCTGACGGGATCGAATCCGTCAGGAAGCACCAGTTCCCTCAAGAATACAGACACACTCTACTGACGAGTGCCAAATAGCACGAAATCCGGGTTCAGGGTTTCATGTTGACTACCTCCAACCAACATCTTAGACATCACTTAAGAGCTACTAAGTGACATGGAAATCTTGTATCCAGTACTCTATTACTGACATTGATTGGTTCTTTACCCAGTACAATTTACATTTCTTGTTATTCACCATTCTCATTCTCAATAGGTAGATATCTAGTACCAATCTATATGATATACCGACCTGAATTTTATCATTGTATTATCAGATATCAGTAGGGTATGTCTTGTAAAATTTAAAAAAAAAACTTTATTTGCGTGTGGTATATAGATGTAAACCAAAATATCTCACCTACTATCTAGTTTCCGATAAATGAATGTGGTACATATCTATGTTGCTATCAGACGGGGGTTTTGCAGAGATTTTAGTCATTTTATAGTTGATATCATGAGTCAATTGGAGCTAGAACACCATCATGGAAAACCTGTAAGCACTGGATGGCCATTTCGTCCTACTGTAGGGCTCTTCAACAGTGCACATCCATGATCTCATCTCGTGAGATTCAAAAATCTAACTTCAGACAAAGATATTAACAACAAGAAATGTGAATGATTTAAAGTATATGATTCAGGTCATTGAATATGACTTGAATTTGATTAGTTGACTTAACCAGCACTCATTTAATTGATTATTTTTGTTTTAAAAATGTATCAGATTCTTGGTTCAATAGAAAGCTTGATTCATTTATCTGATTAGATTCATATACTGATTTATTCATCTTCAACTATATACTCATCTCATGAATTTGAGTTGGTCTGCTTCACTGAATGTCATTCTTTGCACAAAATATATATCATACATAGGTTAACACTTTCAATGATTACTTCCTTATTTCCTTACTGATAAGTCTTGTAATTTGAACGCTATACTCAGTTCCTAAGCTATTCTTGTAACCCCCAAGCTAGACCTATATAGCGACCTGAACACGAGAGAGAGGTGTAAAGTATGCCAAAAATACTTTACTCCCAAGGTTCATTTTAATACAGAAAATATAGATTTTTTGTAATATTTTAAATGTCCTTGGGTTGCTCGAAGATTCTGGAATGCTACTCAACATAGTAGCAGTATAACAATCAACCAATCAGAACCTCTACAAGTGACGTTACCACTTCCTTGATGTTTCTGGCTAAAACTTCAAGTGAACGCTGATCGGATGAAATGTTTCTTAATGTTTCCTGATCTTTGCTTGTCTTTTGCAAGAAATTTTTTTGGATCACCACAACACTTACGCCTGTTACCCATCGTGGGGGATCATAGGCCACTTACCAGTATTCGCCATCTAACTCCGTCTTGGACATTTCTTTTCCACTTGTCATATATATCATACATGAGTTAACGCCTTCAATGATTACTCACTTACTTCTTTACACCTGCTACTTCTAATGGAGGATCATAGGCCACTTACCAGTATTCTCCATCCAACTCCGTCTTGGACAATTCTTTTCCACTTGTTATATATATCATACATAAGTTAACGCTTTCAATGATTTCTCACTTACGTACTTCCTTACATCTGCTACTTCTGATCGAGGAGCATAGGCCACTTATCATCATTCTCTATCCAACTCTATCTTAGACAATTCTTTTTCATTTGTTTCCAATCTCTATTCATTTAAATTTACCAACAAACCTTTTCTAGGTTTTTCGAATAAATTTTTCTTTCTTTTACGTAACTATTAAATTCTTCTTCATCTTAAATGACATAGTGTGTTATAGTTTATGACAAGTGACATCATAAAATGTTACAGTTTTAATATTTACTTGGTATTGTTTTACTTGTATCCTTCCATTATTATTTAGAACTGAAATTGATCAGTCTTTTGTTGGCATATGTGCACATTTTGTGGGCTGTCTTCATATAGCTTTAAATCACAAACTTCTTAATCAAAGATGGATAGTGGTTAGCAATGGAATACACAACAAGCATTTCGTCCTATTTGGGACTCGTCAGCTAGATATACCTGCATATCAGAGTTGATGTTCACATGGGTGGTCGAACCCAGTACCGTTTTCTTGAAACGCCATCGTGTTCTCCACTTAGCTACTGCATCCTGATAGCCACCTGCTTATACAATAGGGTGAAGTTTATATTCACTATGTGTTATTTTCTCATATCTTCTAATTGTTGTTCAAGTCCAATCAGTCTCTTATTAGCATATGTACATCCTGTGAGGATTGCCTCGATACAGTTTCATGAATGTTCATTAAAAATCATGTAAAAGGTTTACTTTTCATTTAGATAAGTGAGCTTCGACCATTTTTACCTGAGATTGTTTATTACAGATGAGTTTAATTCTAGGTTTGTAAAAATAAATAATGGATCTGGATGATAGTATTAGTTTCAATGATTTGTAGTAGATGATATGGTGTGTGCTATTGATGTTGATAGATATAAGTAGTATGTTACATCAATCAAAAGTGAAATGTTTGGAGGCAGAAAGTTAAGAAGATCGAAGAAAAAAGAACGAGAACAGAGAGTGATTGATGTGGAAACAAAGGAATAATGAATTCTGAGCCGCTTGATTGACACTTTGCAAATGAAATATTTACTGATTAATTCTCAGATTTTACTATTTATTTATTTATTTAAACATATAAACATTGGTACAAGGAGGCATCAAATAGATAGGCTTCACATAAATCACTCGATTTGTGTGAGGGCTGGGATACTGCCCAGGTGCTCAAACCAAAACAGGTGGTTTCCTTAGTGGGCCACACCCGAAGCCTTAGACATGAAGATCTAATCCACAAGGTAGTGAAGCTACGTCAGGAGATTTAGTCCCATGGTAACCGGTGACCAACGATTGGTCCATACGCCATTTGTTATTCCAGGATACTGAAGTCCATGTGCAACATTAGTATGTAATTAGGGTTTTTCAACTCCCCTAGGTGAACCCTCCGTGTCCACCAACCCGGATAAACGCTAGATATTCGCATTTCGTCCTCTCAATTTCGTAAACAACACTTCCGCCGCAAGAAGGCAAAGAGTAGGACTTCCCTATCAGCTGTTTTATGCAGATTTTACTAAGTCATTTTGTAATTTTGTATTCAAATACATTCGATTGAACCCAGTTGTGTTCTCGTTCACTACAATGGTAGTAAAGAACTATCGTGAATTACTGAAAAGTATTTCAGTAAGTTATCTTCAAAATAAGGTTTATGAATCAACCCAACATGCCACATTTCATATTCGCATACTGTAAATAAAAACATTTGCACGCATTGTAAATAAAGTTTCTAGTCAGAGCTCGTACCCGAGACGTTCATATTTATTTATGTGGCCCAAATTAACAATCAGTGATTTTATGTCCAGAATATATATCTCGCGAGACGGGATCGTGGGTGTGCACGGCTGTGCAGTTTTATACTAGGACGAAAAAGCTGTCCGGTGCTTCCAGGTTTTCCATGGTAGTCTAGCTTCAACTATTAAATTGCTATAATATCCACAAAACCCCTCTCTGATCAGAATATATATGTTTCTTCAGCAGCCTTTTTTAACAAATATTATAGGTCTAGGAAAACGATAGTTAAACATTCATAGCCCTGAAGAATGAAAACACTTACGTTAATACCGCTAATTCTAAATCACTCTGTGTTTCTCAATCAAAGATTTCATTTAGGATATATATATATCACAAGGGGTTTTGTGGATATTATGGTAGTTTTAATAGTTGAGTTCATGAATCAATTGAAGCTAGACCATCACCATGGAAAACATCAAAGCACTGAACAACCGTTTCGTCCTATTGTGAAACTCCTCAGTAGTATGCATCCACAACCCTGCCTCGTGAGATTCGTACCCAGAACCTATCAGTCTCGCGCACGAACGCTTAACCTGTAGACCACTGACTTGATATCCAAAGGTTTTAATATCTAACTTTAACTAATCCATTTTTATACTATTCAAAACAATAGTTTCAACTGACTCATGATCTTAACCATTGAAATTACTATAATATCCTCAAAAACCCCTTGAGATATTATTCAACAAATGCTCACTAGCGACTGGCTTCAAGATGTATATCCTGAAGTTCTAGTGAGAAACAGTGACCAGTGAAGTTCAACCAGGTCTATTGTGAAATAGTATCTCACTGAAGACAATAATGGATATGTCGCTTAATTTCATGAATTAGTTAAAGTTAGACATTAACACCGTTGGATACTGACCAGTTCAGTGGTCTAATGGTTAAACGCACGCGAGCTAGACCGATATGTCCTAGGTTCGAATCTCTCGCGGGAAGGGGGGAGCGGGATCTTGAATGCGCACTGCTGAGGAGTCCCATACT